GTTTTATTATATTATATAATAATTTTTTTCTTTTTATAAAGTATAATGTGTAATTTTAGAATGTACTAAACAGAATCCCAATGGAAGTCATGTATTATATTAAGTATTATAAATTTAGGGGAAAGAGTTAAAGGCGTCACACTCCAATCAGTGTACAGGAAAAGTTTTGTTTAAAGAGAAAAGAAAAATAGATAGCTGGAGAAACCGACAAAGAATAATAAGCATTATGATTTGAACTGAGATGTGATAAATAAAATAAACTTAAGAAAGTTAAAAGAGGCGAGAGGCTATATAGAAAATGGAAAATGGTAATAAGATATGGAATGGTATGTAAAATGAACATGAATTTGAATTTGTGTCTGTACAAAGAGATGTAACCCGGGATCAAGCAGCTTTCAGAAAAGATGTTTTATGTTTTTATGTTTTAAGTTTTGTTTGTTTGTGTATTGTCTTTGAAAATTAATAAAATTTGTTAAAAAAAAAAGATGGGAGCAAGGCCATCAGAGGTGGTATTCTGAACTACTCAAAATTTCTGCTACCGGTTCTCTGAAGTACTCAAAATTTCCGCTGCCAGTTCTCCAGAACTGGTCAGAACCTGCTGAATACCACCTCTGCTCCTGATATTGTCCTCCATGTCCCAAAGCCACAGAAGAAGAAATAAACATCTACACTTCTCCAGTGGAAGGCAGTCATGCTCTCCAATAGAGAACATGCTTGCCTGCCCCCTTTTCAAGGAGCGTGAGAAACTCAGTTGGCGTTCTTAAATTCCAATCCTTCAACCTCCTACTTTACTTGTCTTTTAAAATTTGTCTAACCACAGCAACCTAAAGGTCAGAAATGGAACATCCCAACAGATTGAAATGCTTTTTACTCATTACATTCCCATGTTAAATGACATCCAATCATGTCAAGCCACTCTTAAATAAAGTGCTGAAGAGCATCTTTTATGTTTCATGAATGTTATGCTCTCACATAAATATAGCATCAAAATAGAAGAAAACCTTCCCATATATCAGCGAAGTATGCAAATTAAATAGACCCAGCTTATTTCCTGCGATTTGTTTAGACTATTTGATATGCAAAAGATTTATTGTCAACATGGCCAAAAGACCATGAACTGACTCCTAATGCAGATTTACAAAACTAGTCAGTTTGTCATAGCTCAGCTTGATTCAAAAATAGGTTCATCCAGACATCCTTGGTTTTTATATGAGGTAACTCTATAAAAAAAATAGGCAGCTCTTGGAGGTTTCAGGTTTTTGTCAGTATCTGCTACCTGGAGATGCTAAGGGATAGACATATGAGTTCTGTTGACATAGTCCATGTAGTTTAATGGTTGTAGGAACTGATGGTGCCAGTAGTTATGAGAATTGCTTTTAAATGTTCAGTTATAGACATTATACATTCCAGGAAAAATAATTATCCCCCTCCTAACCCTAACCCTAACCCTGTCTTGGTAAATTACTTTCTCTAATTTCCCCCATTTTGTCTTTTTGATAAAGCATTGCTTTATTAGTATCTTTTGTGTTACATTACTAGGTTTCATCCCAGACACAAGAAGATTAACAAGAACATTACAAATGCACTACCATGCAAGGAACTTGTTCTATGTTGTTCTCAAAAGAAGTCTAAGAAATAAAAATCTCAAGGAAGTTGTTAAACAATGAGGAAAAGCTTCAAACTTTGACAATGAAATAGGCTGTCTTTGGAGGCTCTGGGATTTCCCTTCTAAACAGAAGCTGAATGTTCATTGGCTGTGGATACTATAGTTCAGCTTGTTCAAAGTTGGTATTGTCTGATATATTGGATTACAATAATACAAATTCCAACTGTTTCCATTTACCATAAACATTGTCCAGGTTGGTTGAAGATGACAGCAATTTAATACATATATACAGGTAATCCTCAACTTACAACAGTTTGTTTCAAGTTTACAACGGGACTAAAAAAAGTGACTTATGACCATTCTTCATACTTATGGCCATTGCAGCATCCCCATGGTCATGTGATTTACATTCAGATTCTTGACATCTGATTCATATTTATGATGCTTACAGTGTCCTGGAGTCTTGTGATTACCTTTCGTGACCTTCTGAAAAGCAAAATCAATGGGAAAACCAGATTCACTTAACTATAGTATTGCTAATTTAGCAACTGTGGTGGTTCATTTAATAAATGTGGCAAGAAAAGTCATAAAAAAGAGCAAAAGTCACTTAACAAATTTCTTACTTAGCAATATAAATTCTGGGCTCAATTGCAGTTGTAAGTGGAGGAGTACCTGTACAGGCATTGGGTTGCAAAAGGTATTGTGGTAGAATCTTGCACTGCAGTTCTTGAACTGAGTAGAGATCTGGACTTAGTTATCTCCAAGCCTCTTCCCTAAATTTAATGTTCTATGACCCTGTGGTTACTTTACAAGAACTTTCATCAGGATTTCTGGGACTTAACATCTTGTCTCAAATAAAGATCCTTATTAGTACATATACATAAATTAGTCCTTCCAGCTTGAAGATGACGTGCTATTGTGCAGTTCTTCTGAGGACAAGGAGTTGGCTCTGCAGTCCAAGTCTTGAAGCAAAGAGTTTAACACAATTGCGCCATTGGTACTCCATTGTTGCAGGGTATTATTCTGTATTGCTACTCATAATTTTCTATCAGTTTTTTCCCCCCAGAACTTTTCTTTGAAGAAGGAGGAAGCATCAGAGCAGTGGGCTCACCAGTAGGTTCTGGTGAGAAGCTGCAGCTTGTAGTTCCCTTAGCTGAATGTCACAGTAGAGTAGTGGTTGTTTCATACTTTGTCTCTGTAGCACTTGTGTGGTTGACCTCAAGGTCTCTTTCCAGATTCTAGTGCACAATAGAGCAACTGATGAGGCATATGACAGTCAACCATTCTGGCGCCATGTTCCACCTATCTTATTTGGGCACAGACAATCAGGGACTCACTAGTGGCGGACTCTGCATGATTTAAGACCTTCAGGTTGGAGACATGGTTTTGCCAATGAATGCAGAGGATGGAGCAGAGAGTGCACAGGTGAAATTTCTCCCGTTGTCTTATGTACCTTTGGTCCAGAGTCCAAGGCTCACATCCACGTAGGAGAGAAGGGATAATCACTGCTCTGTAGACCTTTAGCTTTGTGGAGATACAGAGGTTGTGTTGATTGAGGACTCTAGTATACAGCCACACCAATGCCTGGCTGGCCTTGCTGATCCTGGAGTTTATTTTTTTGTCCAAAGACCCATCACTCAAGATGAAGCTTCCCAAGTAGTTGAAGTTGCTTTACATTTGTCATCCAGGTATTTTCAATCATGATTTTTGGATTTTAGGCATGGTATTTTGCATGGGCCGGTGAAGTATTTTTGTCTTCTTCAGGCTGACTAATGAATTGAATGGGTTCACAACCAGAGGTTCTGACCAATTCAGCAGGTTCTGACCACTTCTGGAAAACCAGTAGTAGAAATTTTGAGTAGTTTTGAGAACCAGGAAATACCACCTCTGACTGGCCCTGCCCCCATTTATTCTCTGCCTCCCGAATCCCAGCTGATCAGCTGGGTCTTCTTTTGTTGCCCTGCACAGGAGAATGGAGCTGGAAAGCAGGTAGTGGGGTGGGGAGGAAATGGGATTTTGCAGTATCCTTCCCCCAGAATGGGGTGGGTATGGAGATTTTACAGTATCCTTCCCCTGCTACGCCCACCAAGCCACGACCACAGAACCGGTAGTAAAAAAATTTGAATCCCACCATTGTTCACAACCCTGTTTTACCCATTGTAAATAAAAAATGTAACTGATGCATCACTGTTGCAAAGGACCTTTGCTGTCATTCCATCATGAAATAGTTGAATCAACTCCATGAATTTCCTTGGGCACCCATAACATCTCAGGATAGCCCTGCTCTCTTAGCAGAAGAGACCTGAATCCAGTGGCATGGAGAAGAAACATTACAGCTGGAGACTATTCCTGTAGCAGTGGATGATCGGGAAGTCTGCGTATCTTACCATGCTCTTAGTGCTCCACGAAGCCTGCTGGGCCTGACTTCTTGACTGTTAAGACTGTTGATCAATCTCCTCCACTCAATCTGCCAGGCCCTGACTTCACATACTGAGACCTCACCACAGATAGAAGACCCATCAGCTATCTATCTGGTTTGGCGCACCTGCCGAGATGGTTTACTGGGATGTGGCTGCTACACATGTTACAGCTATTTGGGGCTACAGGTGTTTGCTGAATGCCAGGTGGGGATGAAAAGCAAACAAGCAGCCCTTAAAAGGGCACTGCAGGCCCTAAACCAGAGGTGCTACCTCTCCCAAAATATCCCATACATTAAACGCCAGTTTGTGAACTGCCTATCTTTTCATGCAAAATGTGACTGATAACCTATATGTTAGCTTGTTGGGAGCATTTGCACATATTTTTTAGCATATCTTTAACCCAAAGTGGAAATACTATCCCAGTTTCAAAACTGTTAAAAGAACAGCTATGGTATTACAAATTTAATGAATTTAACTACAGCATCCAAAAACCAAATATCTCTTGTGTATGACTGCGGAAGAGCTGAACCGAACATTGACATGGAAATTCAAACGTGACAGTCTACTGTATTTATTCAAATAGTGTTGGAGGTATGCAGACTGTCCAGGGAGAACTTTTTCTGCTTTTTGACACCTGAAAGTTCATTTGTGAGAAGCAAAATCAAATCTGGCAGGGTTTAGGACCCAGCCTTACTCAAAGCATCTTCTTTTTCAGGTCTTTTCAGGGTGATGTCTTAGTGGGAGGTAGCATCCAGGACTAGCTGACTGGCATGAATGAGAGAAGAGACAGACAGTAATTCTAGAGTGAAAAGCCTGAAACTGGAATAGTACTGTGGTATCTAAGCAACCAGCTTGACGCAATCACATATATACTCATGAAGGGGGAGAGAGAAGTCCCTTTGAAAAAAAAAAGCACACACATTTTTCAAAGCTGAGGCAGACACAGATTGTGAAGGTGGAGAGGAAGACGAGGAGGTAAAATAGGACCACAGCTGCAGCTGGGCAGAGATTCATGTTGGAAAAGAACAAGATGCAGACCAAGATATGAGGACGTGACTCTCAGATTTTAATGGGGAAAACCCTCTCTGCCCCAGAAAACCTGGTGAGTTCCCTTTATTTTATCCCATTTACTCACAAAGAAAGTGGCAAATCAAGAGCTTTCTATGAAAGCTGCTAGCACTGAGTCTAAGAGTGTTCATACACAGTCATGCCTACTCCAGGGTTCTTCTTCCCAGGTGGAGATTTTGGCATTTCTGCATCATGTTGAGGTGGGCAAATCACCATGTTTTATTATAGCAAAGCTGCAATTTTAAGGACAGCTCTAAAAGTTCCATTTAATAGCGCACATTGCATTTCCACAAATCAGGGTGGAGAGCTCTTTATCTTAGACAGGGTTTCTTTTCTCCTGTCTTGGTCCATTTTTTGTGTTATATTATTAGTTTTCCAATAAATAATATTCTTTGGATAATGTGAAACTAAAAATAAAAATATATGAGCAACAATAATAAATTGCTGAAAATGGAATGCAAACTATATTGAAGGGAGAGAATGCTGGAAACACCTTCTATTAAATAGAAACTCTCATCATTGCCCAGATAGTAAGGTGGGGCAAAGGATATTTGTGAGAAGCACAATAGCACTTTTGAGTCCCCAAAAAAGCTTTGAAGAGTGTGTGGTGAATAAGATTTTTTTAAGATTGAAAACTGAGTGCTTTCATAAGGATGATAGGTTTCATTAAAAGGACAATGGAAAATGAGATAAGATTAAATACAATTCAGTTCTAGGGTATTTTAATTGAGGAGTGTCCTTTGGGAAAAATAGATGCTTTTAATGGGGTGTCAGGCTGATTTCACAGGGTGGGGGCTCTTCATTCCTTGAGCCACAAATGTTATTATGTAAGGAACTCATAGTTCAACTTACTGAAGTATCTTTCAGAGGTATCTCTATGGATGGCTCCTAGCCCTAACATTGAAAAGGCATTCTTCAGCTCTTTTCTCTCTGTCTTTCTCTCCCTCTTTCTTTGCATTTATACCCCACCTTTATTTCAAGCGTACAAGATGGCGTGAATGGAGAGTCTTCCTTCACTTTATTTCTACAACTGCTCTCTGAAGTACATTGTTGGTATGGGTGTGGATATCAAAATAGAAAGGAGATGGTGAAAAAGAGGAATCCCCAACAGAAATATTTATTCTGAAATGGCAAATAAAAGCATCTCCTGAAAGCTTCTCGAGTCTATGCTCCTATCATGAAATCCAGGAACAGCTCTGGAAAAACAAACCTGTAGCTGCAGGTGTGTGACAAGTAATTATTATTAAGACGGTGAGGGTTTTGATATATATTATGCATGGTTGAATGGGGTAGTAAGAAATATTTAAGGACAGTTCCATCCCTGATGTAAACTCACCGTTTTGTTAAGTTAGACTTCACCTCATTTTGTAAAGGCTTTTCTTGAAATAAACATTCTCATTTCTCAAGTTCTCATCCCTTTGCATTCCCCAGCCATCTCCACTTGTTTGCATTTACTTCCTGTTAAAATAAATAACAAGAATATCTCATGAAAGGAACTTCAATAGCAACAGATGATTGTAATCTCAGCATGATAGAAAATTGGTCTGATCTCCTTCCCCTTGTCCTCCCCTGATGGACAAGAAAGAAAGCAGGAAAATGAAATGAACTGAACTGAAGCAGAGGTTTTCTGGTAACACCTATATGACGTAAATTGGCCCAATGGTAAAGTGATCAGATTTTGCTTGCTTTGTCTCTATTGTACTTCTTTTTAAAAATGTGTTGCACGATTAATCAAAGTTAGTCAATTATAAAAAATAATTATTATTTGACTACAATATTTGGAGAGTCATACTAAATGAAAGCTTTTTTTGTTGGTGAGGATGGTGCAAACATCTTATCTTTAATAGGTGTGTATACACATGCATTCATGTGCATTCATAAAAGTAAATATTCTCTCCCTAAATGGTATTTTGAAAAGGTAGAGTTACTCTGTTTTTTCACAATATATGGTCTGTGTCCACTGGGGATATGAGAGAACCTTGTTGCCCATTCTCAATCACTCTGTTCCTGTATCCAAATGGTGAGCTGAAAACATGAATAGGTTTTATAACAAAATATAGTAGTACAAACAACAAATCTGAGTCTGTTTGTTCCAGCCATGCTTACGTGCAAAAACTTTTGAAGAATGTTTCAAGGGTCCCTTTTTGTTCTCATCTGTATCTTGGAACTTAGACATTCTTATAATTCTAACACCCCTGAAGGGCACCAGTGTAGACAAGGCAATTCTAGAGTGAGTACTAAACCATTTAAGGCAGGGGTGTCAAACTCAAGGCCCATGGCCTGGATCCGGCTCATGGGGCTGGCCTGGAAATAGCAAAGGACCAGCCTGCAGTGCCTCTGGCAGACAAAATGAGGTGGAGGGGGGCTGCGCATGGCCCCTGCATGGCCCATTTTTTACTTGGACACTGCCGGCCAAAACGGGGCATGGGTCTCCCACATGCGACCACTGCGTGGCCCATTTATGGCCTGGATGGCCTTATGCAACACTTTGCCAGCCAAAATGGGATGCAGGGGAGTGGCGTTTTTGGCCTGCAAATTGTTGTAGAAGGCCATGCAAGCCAAAAAGGTCCCCCATGCCTCATTTTGGCTGGCAAAATGCTGCAGGAGGCATCCATCCCATCTCTCCCTCCCTTTGAGTCACCATAAAGTACTTTCAAAAGTCTTCATTTAAATTACCATATATATTAATAGATAAGCCCAGAATTTTAGGTTGTAAAATAATTTCCAAAAATTGGGTTCAGGTTACCTGTGGATACACTTTTCCATGAGTATATACAGTAAGGTAAAGGTTCCCCTTGCACATACATGCTAGTCGTTTCCGGCTTTAGGGAGTGGTGTTCATCTCCGTTACAAAGTCAAAGAGCCAGCACTGTCTGAAGAGGTCATGTGGCTGGCATGACTAAATGCCAAAGGTGCATGGAACACTGTTACCTTCCCACCAAAATATTCCCTATTTTTCTACTTGCATTTTTACATGCTTTCAAACTGCAATGTTGGCAGAAGCTGGGACAAGTAACAGGAGCTCACTCCATTATGCAGTGCTAGGGATTTGAACCACCGAACTGCCGACCACCTCCTCCTCAATATTTTTTATTGGATAAATTGATGATACAGTTATTGCTTTGTCCAAAGAAGATTGTCTATTTCAGTATCTGTAATAAAAAAATAATACTTCTTGGAAAGGTTTCTGGCTGGGTTACTGGTGAGTCACAATATACAACAGGGACTACTGAGCAATGGACTCACTCACTACAAGGCAGCTTCATGTGTTCTTCATGACCCAATACTTTTCTCCACTACAAGTGGAATCGATTTTTTAAGGTAGTTAAGGTTTTATTGGGGGTTACTGAGAAACTTTCCAAGGCTTTCATGTTTCCTTGGAAAATACAGTTAAATGGAACATTCTGGTTATAAGAAGACTGGGTGAAATAAAGGAAACAGCGATATTGGCTGTGTTTGGATGATGTCCTGAAGCCATAAAACCAAATCTCAGTGTAATAACCATATCCCCTTCATCAAACAGTCCCCAGATGGTGAGGTATGTCTGCCTGTTACACTAAAAATAACAAAAATCTGTCTGCATTTTTAAAGCTAACAAATGTCTAACTGTATAGTAGCCTATGGTAGCCTATGATGCACTACTTATATATTTATTTCCCACATTTATTATTTTCAGAAATAACTCAAGACGGCAAAGATACCTAATATACTACTTCTTCCTCCTATTTCCCCCACAGCAGCAATCTTGAGAGGTGGTTGGGCTGAAAGAGTGTGACTGGCCCCAAAATCCAGTTTTCATGCCTAAGGTGGAACTCATAGCTTTCTGGCTTCTATCCTGCTGCCTTAACCAATAAACCAAACTGACTCTTATGAATAACTATGACTTATGAATAGTAATAGCAGCAGTATTAGTATTTGTAGCCCATCTTTCCTTTAACACAATTCAGAGACAGTTCCGGTGTTTACCCCTCTCATTCCCCCCGCCCCCCCGTTTTCCTCAGAACAACCACATCTTCCTGAACCAGAGTGAGAGATTGACTCTGTCACTCTATTCTCCCTCAATAAGTTACTTGGCAGTGAAGAGTTGGATGTGAATTTCATTAGTTTCAGTGCTTTCCCCACCATAAACATTGCTGGGTTTCGGGGTGGGGGTGGGGAGGAATAGCAATTTTGGACCATAAACCATGCATGTATGAGTAAATTTAAAAAACAATGACTGCCTGCAGGTCAAAAATAAAGTAAAAGCCAGGTTAGATTTCTTCATTGTAAGCAAAATGTACACACATTTACTATTCACTGGAATAAGTTTCTATATTTATATATTCCCTTGTGAGCTTTTGTCCATATATCTATTTCTGTGAGAAAGAGTTTATAGATGTTTCAGTACAAAGATTTGAGCTGAAAAAAGCCAGTCATCAATTTTTCAACCATTATTCGTAAAGTGCAGAAGCTCTACTATTTGGCCTTGAATTCATTGTAAATAAATGAATTTCTCCTTCTCTCATTGATAGCTTTTTTCAAATATTCAGCACAAATTCAGTACAAATTGCCTATTCACCAAATAGTGGGGACATTTTTTATTTCAAGTTCAATTTGTAGCAATAGATAATATGTAGTAGCACATCTGATTATTTTCATGCAACTGTGTTTAGAATCTATATAGTGATATGAAACAGTCTCAGATATTGTATTAACATAAACAATGCTTGATGGATGGCATATTCCTGTAGGTTACTTAATCATAACTCTTACAGTGAAGGTGTTGGTCTAGAAACCAGGAGACTATGAGATCTAGTTCCTCCTGAGGCATGAAAGCTGCATGGGTGACCTTGAGCCAGTCATTCTTTCTCAACCCTCTTTGGAGGGTTGCTGTTATGGGGGAAATAGGAGGAGGAAGGAGTATAGTAGGCATGTTTGCAGTATTGAATTATTTCTGAAAATAATAAAGATGGGAAATAAATATATAAATAGTGCAAATTACCAGCAGGGTATATGATCTGAAATTTATACTAAAACTGTGATTACCTGGGGTGT